GAGACTTGCCACGGTCTCCAACCCTCCTCCTTTCTCATCCGGGCTTGGGACCGGCCATGGCGGAGTTCTTTGTTATCAGGTATAAATTTTGGTCACTTTTAAGGTAACTGAATCTGCTGGTTCTTTTGGCCTCTTATTTTGGCCGCTAGTTTTATACTCTCGTTAGAATCAGATTTGCTGAACAGTTTCAAGGTTGAAACGGCAACTTTCAGTGTGTCGGCAGAAGCAGACTGTTGGAAAACATTTAATTGCGAACATTGTCTTTAAGTTCCATTAATCTGTGCATTGATAAAATCGAGAAGTTTGCCGCTCAAGTGTATTCTTAACATCAATACGTTTCTTATAAACGTAGCTGAGATTCTTCTTCGATAATATCCTTTGATTATCGCTTATTGTCTTTTTATTTCAGTCACAGTGAAATATGGCACAAGTGATATGAACGTCACTCCAATTCGAATTTTCAACCAAGAGCTATGGAAATGCGATATCTTAAATTCTTAATTGTTCCGATTAGCGTCGCTTTCTGCAGTTCATTATCTTGATCACCATATCATTTGACTTTATTAGGCCGGTTGGTCTTTTTCAGTTACTCGAAGGACGCCCACATCCTTAGATGGTGATCACCACAGAAATTACTTCCGTATTTACTTTCCTGATCTTCTTATAATATTTTTCCATACTCATTTCTTGATATTACAGTCTCTGTTCTCTCCCCTTGACACCAACATTACTGTTAACCGAGCATGTTATATCGATGATTTGTGCCCCTGGCTGTTTCTCTTCACTCTGACTACCAACATGTTATTCAAACAATGAACAGTTGTTTCTTTCTCGGTTCTTACTAGGAAGTCCGAAAGTATTTCCATTATCTAAGTGGCCTCCATTTCTTTCAGCTCATGTTTCCATCACTGCCTGTCCCCTGATTAGTTCTGCTTGCGCAAATGCCAGCGAATTATCTTTGAAACATTATTGTGTCACTCGTATTCTCTGTTCCTAGCAAGAATCTGTTTTCGTCACATTTTCATCCTTCATTTGACATATTCTGCACTTTACTTCTAGCCGCGTATGCACGATCTTCGCCTTGAGTTCGGGCTCAGTGTTTCGTGTTAGGCGGCTGTTAAAAGGACTACAATTTTGCCTTCTGTCTGGTGCATGTCGAAGTCTTTACCGAGGTGGCCAAGTCACTGTCCATGTTATTCTTCCAGTCTTTATAACGAGCGATCTTCTTCATTTCCTAAAGTTTTCTGTTTTAGTTTGAACAGAGAGGGCCGTCAGCACTCTGTCGTTACTGTCGTTGTCAGATATTGCTTTGGGCATGTCTCTAATTCCAGCGTATCTTTGATGCCACGAAGCCCATGTTCTCTTTCCTTCTGTGAGAGTTGCACTTTGCCAGTAGGGTGTGTCATCCCATACGCGCTCAAAATTTTTGTCGTGCTGTTCAGATGTAGTTCACTCGATGAAGCCGCTTGTATATGGCCTTAAGTTGCTCTTCAGAACTCATCGGGTTCTTTTCACCTATTTCGATTTGATTCATTTTTATTTTCTCATGTAATATATTGTGTGGTTCTAGCGCGCCGTGGTAATTGTAGGACATCTTTTTCCAGGCTTTTTATTTTACTAGTTCGCAGCTTCACCTCATTGCTTTCCCAGATCTTACCATCCTTAATCCGGGGCATAGCACTGTATCAACTTATGGCAGTTAATATTATTATTCAGTGGCTTTCAGTATTTTAGTAAAAGTTACCTGATCTGCGTTCTTTGGCCAAATGGGAATTCCCCCATTAACTGTGATCGCAAACGTCTATCAGCATACGTTTTAGTTGACTGAATTTAAAGCCAAGGATTTAGCTGGTGTACCCAGTATTTGCGTCGCTTCAGGGATGCATCCTGGTTTGTTGTGGTTGTTCAGCGGTATCCTCTGTGTGTATAATCTGATCCTTGTACATTTTTATTGTTTGTATTCTGACAGTTCTGATCAGTGCCACTAAATTAGAGTTTCGCAATATATATCTTGACTTAATGAGCTGACATATAGGTGAAACAGATAACTTTTCTCTAAATCTGAAATGCCGCGTAACATTACTTAAATATGCGCATTCGTCGGTGCTGCAGTGCTGATTGTCAGGCTATCTGGAAATGGAAGAAGGAGTCGCAAATGTTCAAAACCGAGCTGAAGAAATTGTGAATCCTGTTACCACTGATGTAGAACGGCCGATAAATAAAATCGAAGAAAGTCATCCAGCGGTGGAGGACGCGGAAAGTAAAAAGCCGATTATTTCCGAACAATCAGCCGAAAAAGGAAACGTCACACTTGATGGAAAGGAAAATGAAAATTATTCAAACAGTAGAAATGGAACGTTGCGTGTTAATTGCCCGACTTTGCAGGCATGCTTTTTATAGGTGATGCTGGATCAGGGATAATGGAAAAAATCGGCAGAGATAACACTGTCATCCAGTCACGTCAGATTAAAGTTAATTTCGAAGCAGATGATGGCCAAAAAGAAAAAGACATCAAAATAAAAACTCGTATGCCGTGCATTGCTTTGAATGAATATAATCTTTAAGAATTTCAGCATTATTTGAGTCTCCGTTAGTAGTTGAAGGTAAGCGACCTAGACAAAAGGTCGAACGCTTGGAGTCAACGATTTTAAACACGCCGTCAAAAGGGGTCGATATTCCTAATGGAAAAGGAATCAAACTTCATGATATTCCTTACGGTTTGAAGCACATTGATTTGGAGTTTTTGCTCACTGTCTTTTTAGTCGAAACAATGATTAAAAAAGCTGAAGTACTTGATTTAAAGTATTTGCACAGAGTGGTTTTCGGCAAGTTCGGCACGGTAATTTTTAAATCTAAAATAAGACATTTTGCTTCATTATTAACGTGTTCGTTTTGCCAGCTAGTTTTTCTGTACTACAGTATTTAGTGAGTTTTCCTTGTTTGCTTTAATTTTAAGTACCCTTCTGCCATTCTTAAACCTGTCCTCAATGTAGAAACATTTCACCGTTGCCATCGCCATTCACCGGCAGTTTCGACCGTTGCACACTTATGTTGTTGCTTCGAAATCCTATAAGCAGCAACACTGTAAATAGTGGTGGCTGCATTAAAAGTAGTTAGTAGAAAGCTGTTATTTGAAATTTCTGGCGTAGCTTGTGCCAAATTAACGAATTTCAGCAAATGAATGTTCATGAAAGTAGCCTTGACCATAAGTAAGTTGACTGTCAGTCTACATCCGAAATTGCTTAAGGACAGATTTATCACTGAATTTTAAATCAGCCCGGAAACCTTTAAAGTTACAAAGTTAGCCATAGTTTCTTAAGTTTATTGTTGTACACCTTTGTGCCTATAGGACAAAAGGAATTCAGCACCCAGTTGAGTAAAAGTCAACTAGAATAAACGCATTGATGCTGTTTCTAGTATGTCATAAATCGGATCTATTCAGAAGTGAAAGAAACAGATAGTAGTAAGATCTCAAAATTTCTTCATAGAGCTACGAATACGACTACGTTATAGTCAGTCAAATACTCAAAGAAGTATTCAGAAGAAATATTCCTTTCTGTGTCTGCAAGTTGCTTAAAAAATAAACCGGTTGCGTAATATTCATCTTAGACTCGCACACGTAGTTCTGAAATGCTGGTTCAAAGTTCATTTTAGCGCTGAATGCTTAGAACTGAAAATATACTTTCCTTACTGTAGCGTACTTTATACAGAAGTGAACTATTGACGTTCTGTGTTTAGAGTAGGTCGTAAACTTTGAAGTATCTAGTCAGTCGATAGTTTTTGCATCTATGTTTGGCGTATCTGTTTTTTAGAATTTAGAAATTCGTAAGCACCTGCGTGTATTCAGCGGATATGAATTTGACGAAACTTCAGAAGATTTCACCAAGCTGAAATATAGGTTAGAAAGGTAGCGTGTTCTAATACATTTTGTTGTTAAATGGGTCTACATGCGGCGGATGCATTTAGCTATTAATAAGAGTATTATAAAAGCAATTTAAATGAATCAGATTGTCAAGGTATGAATCCTGCGTATACGAATGCATGGTGATTAGTAACGTTTTAAAGGTGAATGGCTTATCTGTTTACGGTTAATTTAAAGTTTGAAATATCTAAGGCGCTTTGCATATTTTTTAAACAGCTATTGTTGTTCAGTACCACTTTAATTCAAATTGGAACTGCATAATATTTTTTTCTTGATTGTAATACCTTGCGCACATGTTGATATGTATCTGGCCTGACAGCAGTTTTGAATTGCGAAAGCGTCGCGAATGGCATTCAGTCAGTCAGATTGACTTAATTGAATCTTAAGGCATGCGATAAGTTGCCAACTCCTAGATATAACCGATGTACAAGTAGAAAACAAAACAGCTATGTGAAAGTGAATCTCACTTAGGTCGAACAGAGTCTCCAGGTACAGTCGTAACAAATGAAGCCTTCCAAACAGGATCGTCCGTGGGATGTAGTCAAGTTTGTTGTAAGAGTCACTGAAAAGCGACATGGCGATAAGCGCTCTAAACACATAGCGCTTTGGAAGGATTTCCCTGCAATTGTTGGAAATTATCTCCGGAAAATGCAGGCTCTTACCGAGTGTTCTTTTTGCAGCATTTTGCCACCCGTCTTTTTTTGCCACGTATGATCTTCTGAACACTTTCACAGTTTGTCATAGAAGGAAGGAAGATCATAACGTACAGGAATCCAGGGATTAGCACGTGCTACAGCTGATTGCGCACTCGTTCATTTGATAAGAACAGGGTATTTAGAGCGACAGTATTCACCCGGCTGATTTAGCACTTGGTCCAGCCGCCTTCTAACCAAGTAATTTAAGTTTTGTTTATGCGGTAGCTTTCATTTTAAACCCGTTTGGCATGGTAAGTTCTTTGCTTCAAAAGTTGTCAATGCATACGATTGTAAACGACATACCTGATCCTCCGAAACATTCATAGCATTTTTAATGAACAGCGCGGTCCGATCACGTAATAAGCACGCTTCACATTTCGTTTAGTTGTCTATCCTATATTGATAGCCTGGCGTACATTACATATTTGTTGAACCAACATTTTGCTAAGTACCAGTAGCTTTTAAGTCTGCTTGCAGTTTTCGTTTGCAGTTGTTTCTGCAAATTTACCTTAGCTTTTGAGCTGAGTCGTGCAGTTAGCAGACGATAAAATGTAGACTTCGTTTAGGATTGTGGACAGTTAAAAACTCATGTAAACTCAAAAGTATATTGAATTACAATAGTTGTAAAAGTGTTACTTTCGTCATTTAGCTGAGTGCTCAGAAATGAGCAAAGCTGAACGTTAAATTCTGTGATTAATGAAGAACAAATCAATTTTTCGAAATTTTGTAGTTATACCATAAAAAAGCTGAAGAAAATTTGTGATATATTGGGCGTGGAAAAACGCGGGACGCGAAATAATATAATTCAATCAATCGCGCAATTTTTGCTGAAGCCAGAAGACTTACATAGGAAACCAGCGACAACAAAAGGTAGGTTTGTGAAAACTTTGCCGATGTTTGTTACAGTAAAAAAGTCGTAGGTCATCGAAGAAGTGTTTCACGTCGTTCAACAAAAAAACTGGTTGAAAAGCAGGAGAACGGTAAAGGAAAGAAAATGGAATCCAGCACATCCGAAGAAGTAGTGACTGTTTTTTTGGATAGATGTAAATTTCATTCTTTATTTTAGGCTACACCTAAAAAAAGAAAAAATAATACGGGAAAGGTAGTCACATCACGATCAACAGCAAAAAAAGTACCCAAAGCGAAGAAGGCAACGACGCCGGAGCAGCTAGTTGAAGCGAGTACGTCTACTGCAGATAAAAAGCCAGAAATTCCTTCGGTAAAAACTTTCTGTTTGGGTTTAAAGTCCGTTTAAAGAAATAATGTATTTTAGGACGAAGGACTAATCGTCATCGTAAAAGACCTACTCAAAGGATTAAACCTTGAACAAGTTACAATGAAGGACATATGCGATCAAGTAAGAGATTTATAAACGTAGTGCTTCATGTTGCCCAGCAGATATATTCTAAAATCAAATTTTCATAGAATATTACCTGCATTTCCACTTACAGACATTTGTTTGAATAAGTTCACAAGATGAAAACTCAGAGATAGATTCTTATTTAAGTTATCCACGTTGAACAATGCAAAGTTGCGTGCAAGCACCGATAGATACTCTTGAGAAAATTATTGAAAAATTGAGGCATAATATACAGCAGACCTCCATCATGCAAAAAGAAGACCAAAATAGTCTTAGTGTTTCATCACCCGAAGCCGCTTGTGAAAGCTGTATGTCAGTTGTGTGATACATTTGCTTTTCATAACTTGCTGTTAGGCACCGGCTATCATTGGTGGATGGAACAATTCTTCAAAAACAGATCTGCCTGTACCTTGTTCCACAATATTGCATACTGGCTTCCTGGTCGACGTCTACCGTGTTTCGGCTTCCGTGACGAGCTCATCGACTGGAGTAAATGGTTTATGCTCAATCAGTATATCTAACTGGGCCAACTCCTGTTTTTACGCCCTGCATCTACAGCGGACACCTGCACCCGGAAGAAAAGACACCCAATGCGGTCCTACAACTTAGCTCTCTATATGCGTCGAAACCAACGATGCTGTAGGCAGCTGAACCGTCCTTTTTAGTCTATTATTAGAAGAGCTGTTTCTATACCGTACCATAGCAGTGACCTGACCGAGGCCGTTTACAGGCGATATTTTGTGAAAAGGTTAATCCTTTCTCAGCACTCCATAAGCACTCAGGGCTAAGGCGATTCTCATATTTAACTCTGGCTAGATAATACCATCGCTGGGGTGATGGAACCAAGATACTTAAATTGGTCAACTTTCTGAATTTTCACCTTCCTGTTCCACTTATAAATAAGCTGTTCTGGATGGGTTCCTCATAAGTTTTGACTTCCGGGCACAGCTCAGATTTCACAGATTTTTTTCATACATTAGCTGTCACGTAACCAAACCATCTACCAATTCTTCCCACCACGACAGTATCGTCTGAGCACACCCAAGGTCAACAAGATACCTGGCCGAAAGTCTTGAACTGCGCCTTCCCTCTAAAATGGGGCCCTCTTTCTTGCCAGGGTCATCACTGTTTCAGAGATGAAAGTCGATAGCAATGTTGACTAGCAAAAGCAAAAGTACATCTTTTTGACAATTTTAATACTTAATAAGTAACCATTCACATAACCTTCCATCGACTTTAACGTAAGACATGCTTCTGCAAGCGTATATCTGTTCCAAAATAGAAACGATG